GGGTTGGAAGCCATCAAGTGTTTGCGAAGCCATCGATTTTCCAATACCAGAAAGACCCTTTATGTTTTCTTTAAGTTTTTATAACTTTTACGTGAAAACATATACATATGGAACATCTTATGAGACAATAATTATCAATTCAAATGAAACATATATTGTAAACTACTAATAAATATAGTTTGGGTTACATTCTCATTATATTTTACTCTTTCAGGACACACAAAACAGTTATATAAAAATATGATTATTTTTATATGTTATAAACATTATGAAAAGAGTAACAATTTCATATACAAATATTCTCATATAAAAACATGTATTTCGTTGGGAATTTGTGAGCCATTCGTCTTCATTGTACCTACTAAGGTATATAGAAAGTCTTGTTTTATAACCGAGTCTCCTCCCGGAGAGCATGATACTTGTGTATAGATCTATACGGGTTTGATGACCTTGCACCCTGGCTACTAGATATAGCCCAACCGGTAGGTTAAGGGTGACAAATATCAGACAGTACAACACCTGAAGAACATCAAGGAAGCCAAATCATTCGTTCGCATGGTTATGAAAACTCACATAGGGAAAACGAATTCGAATTGTTTTATTTTCGAATAAAACTAAAAATCATTAAATTCAAGTATGGTAAAATACTGGTACATGTTATAGTCTTGGATTATTAATACTATAGTTTACAACTCAGTTTTATGGAAAATATAGGATTTTCCTAGATAGATACGATCTCTTACAAACAAATAACTTACAAACCGGTTTTATAGAAAATATCAGATTTTCTAAGTAACAAATGTGATTTCATCTCATTGAATGGCATATATTTCCATACAAATGCTTATGAACTCACCAACTTAAATGTTGACACTTTTTCTCAAATAATTTGTATTCTCAGGAAACCGGTAAACCATGTACACCCTTGAGTTTTTGAGAAGACGTAGCTTTGAGACTCGTGTCTTTTAACTGTTGTATATATATTTTGGTGTCAATATACGATGTTTTGAACACATATGTAAAAACTTATACTTTATCAAATGTATGGTTGTTGTACTTTTGATTACTATTATACATTTGTTGTGATACTTTACATGACGTCCTCCACCGCCGAATGTTTCCACCGTTCAGGTTTGGGGGTGTGACACCTCGTGCCTGGTATCAATGATTTGCTGTGTTTCTCGTCTCTCTCGGTTTCACTAGCAGTCGCTCTGTCTGTTCTCTCTTTACTTATCATTATGGGTATGATCATATCTTTCTTCTTCTTTATGTTGATGACATTATACTCATCGCCTCCTCTCATGCTCTCATCTCTCGAATCATCTCTCATCTTTCATCTAAATTTCCTATGTCCGACTCGGGTTCTCTATCTTTCTTCATTGGCATTACTGCGTCTTGCACTGCTAACGGTCTGTTTTTATCCCAAACTTCCTTTGCTAGGGATATTTTCGCTCGTTCTGACATGTCCTCCTGTAATCCCTACACCACTCCATGTGACACTAAATCTAAATTATCTCCACATGGATCTCCTGTTTCTGATCCTACTCTTTCTTGGAGTCTTACTAGTGCCCTGCAATATCTTACCTTTACTCGTCTTGATATTGCGTATGCTGTCCAGCAAATCTATTTTTTCATGCATGATCTGCGTGAACCTCATCTTCTTGCCCTTATGCATATTCCCCGCTATCTCTAAGGGACTCTATCTCATGTTTTGTCTATACGACCCTCTTCCATTGATCACTTGGTCTCATATTTTGATGTTGATTCGGTTGGCTGTCCTCACACTCGTCGGTCCACTTCTGTGTTTTGTGTTTATCTTGGTGACAACCTTGTCTCTTGGTCCTCCAAACGACAACATGTTTCTTGATCCTCAACTGAAGCTGAGTATCGTGGGGTGGCAAATGTTGTTGTTGAACCTGCATGGCTTCGTAACCTACTTCTCGAGTTATCATGTCCATTATCTAAAGCTACAGTTTTGTTTTGCGACAATATAAGTACCATGTATTTATCCTCTAACCCTATTCAGCACCAACGTACCAAGCATGTGGAAATAGAGTTACATTTTGTTAGGGAACGTGTTGCTATTGGACATGTGCATGTTTTGCACGTGTCATTGGCTCATTAGTTTGCAGATATTTTTACCAAGGGTCTTCCTACACAATTATTTGTGGATTTTCGGAACAGTTTGAACATTTGTAAATCCCACACTCAAATTGAGGGGGTGTGTTAGTTTATATTGTTATCTATACATATTGTATAGTGTAGTGACGTCATTGTAATATTCTTTTATATAAATATATTGTATTCATAGCCTCTCTTCAACAAGGCTTTTTACCCTAATCAACACATTATATTCTCTTTTCTCTTTTATATGCTAGTTTCTCTTGTTATGTTCTAGGTATGTTTCAATGTTGAACAATCGTTAATTAGGACCTTTATTATATAATTGTTGAGGCATTGAATTTAATCGTTGGTTTTATGTTGTTAAATACTTTGAGTTTCTAATTTACTTATTATTCTATTAGCTTATTGTTTTTTTTCATACATTTTGGTGGTTATGTCGAAAACACCAACTATTTACCAACAACCATGTCAATGGTTTCATTAATTTGGTTATTATAGTTTTTGAATTTGAATTATTAATTTTTTGTGAATTTTTGTAGAAATACGATCATGGTTTTCGGGATGATGTATTGTTAATGTTTGTTATACCTTGTGTCACTCCTGTAATAAATACCTTTTTATTAAGAGATGTGAAAAGGAGAACAAGCTTGCAGGTATGTTGGAACCACGCCATGTCTTCTGTCCATGATACTTGCTTGGTCTAGATTCAAGAGTAAACAATGGTTAAAGACAATGAGTAACCTGATCAACGCCAAATGATGATGAAAAGTACAATGTTATTTCTTCCGATTATTTAAGTGTATGTATCAAATATGTCTTAACAGGGACAAAGGTAATAGATATTACTTCATGAATTGAAGCATACATGATAGTTTCTTATAGAGAATAAGTTTTAATAAATATTAGGGCGACCTAATTGTATTATTTCTCATATGACTGATGTTTTGTACTTTTCATTGCATTTATAACTAGCATAACTAGCAATAGCATAAGATCAGTTTTTATAATTAGGCTTTTACAAATTGAGTTTAGGATATTAGCTTGGGTAGAAGGTCATGTCTATGGAGAACATTTCTTATTGGGGCGGGGAAGAACCTTCACTTCATCACTGATTTGTTTCTCCATCATTTCTGTTGGTAATAAACATATATTAGATCTATATACTCTGCATTTGATTTCTTTAGACCTGTTATTGCATCTAGATTTTATCACCATTCTCCTCATATCAAAAGTTTCCATAAAATAAGGAAAATGATGATGGTTTCAAGTTCAACCGAAAGTTAGGGTTTATTATCTAATGATAGACATGGAGAGATGGTGAGGGTGCCTATGCAAGTGGATGTTGGAAGAGGTGATTATCTTATTCATGGTTTCTATTTTTTGTAATTGTGGTTTTGTTTCGTTTCTTCATATTACGACATTGTATTTTAAAAAGCCTAGCCAACTATAGCAATGTCCTATTCATTGTTATAATATATTTTTTTTAATTTGAAAGTATAATGTCTTAATAACAAAGATATTATGAGTACAATGTTATAATTAGTTAGATTTTTCATAGTATGATGCATTCCTTCAGCAACATTTGTGAAAGAAAGTATGATTATTGATAATGTTGCCAAGTTTATTAGATTTTATGTTGTTTATATTCTCAAGGAAGTATGATTCAAGCTACCAGAGATAATCCACCTCATTACACTGTAGAAAAGAGCACAACTGAAATTCCATTTCCAAATAAAAAAATCTAAGACTGGAAGGAGCGGGAGGGAAGCTTCCCTTACTTTTGGTGGACCATACCCCTCTTTCCTTCACTCTCATTTCCCTCACCTAAAAGCCAAGGAACGGGTGAGAAGCCCTTCCCCCACTCTTTTTTTTATTAAATAATTTTTTTTTGTTATGAATTATAATTTTTAAATTAATACTAAACATAAAATTTAATTTTTGAAACCCCCTTTGCTATTTCTTCGTATTTGTTCGTTGCCTTGGCCGCTTTTTCGTTGGGTTTTTAGGTTGTTGTAAAACCCGTTAATTTTTGAAACCCCCTTTGCTATTTCTCGAAACTTCGAATTAAGTTTATGTTTCGTACGGTAGTCGTCACATGTTCCTAGCTCCTCTTGAAATCGCTCTAAAATGCGAAACGAAAAATGTTCTCCCGGTTGTGCGTTTCCCTGAATCAAATCTTCAGAAATATCAACCCATGCTTTGACCAAAACTAGCTTTTCGTGTGGAACCCATGCTGTCGGCTTTTGTCTTCCCGGTTGTGCGACACCCTCGCGCACTTGTTTTTTCCCTTTACGTCTTTGTGGTGGTGGTGTTGGTTGAGTTTCGGGAACCATGTCTTCTTCTTCCGTATCATTCGATTCATCGACAAGTTGGTGGTGTTGTTGGGTTTGGGTTTGAGTTTCAGTTTGAGTTTGGGGTTGAGGTTGATTTGGCGATTGTTTATCCGGAAACACAACAAAGTTTGAAAACATTTGCGATGGAACATTTGGAACTTGCATCAGGTAATATTGGCCAACATTTTGGTATTGGAATTGTAGTGGAGATTGAATTGGAGCATCAAGTTGTGGGCGGTAACTCCTCGCGGGGATGAATCGATAGCAAAAATGTTGCGAGGAGGTATGTTTATACTTGAACCATGACTTTTTTTTTCCTTCGATCGGAACTTGGGGTTTGCTTGTCGTGATTCATTTTTTTTTTCTTGATATAAAGTAAAGAGAATAGAGGATAGTGTGATGTTTTTAAGTTATATGTATATATTTATAGTAGTGGTAAAATGATAAAAAAAAAAACAAAAAAAAAGAAATAAAAACAAAAGTAGCCGTTACAGCCTAAAAAAAATTACATTTTTTACCGTTATTCAAGACAAAATTGCAAAAATGGTTCCTATGGTATGCATTTTTTTGGGGTTTTAGTCCAAACCTCGATTTTTTTGGATTGATGGTCCTTTTGAGGTAATTTTGTTGCATTTTTTGTCCCCTAGTAAACTGAAATGACTGTAATGCCCTTATGATATTTTTTTTAATGTTTTTTTTCTTTAATTTAAATAAAAAAGAAAATAAATAATTAAATTGGAACCACGTATCTTTCTCTCTTTTCTCTTTTCTCTCTCTCATAAGGCAAAACCCAACGACCCCCATCATCTTCTTCCCACCCTTCGTTTTTTTTACTGTCTCTCCTTATCTCTCCTTCTCCTCTTATGTTATCTCTTTAGTGATATCAATCTTCCAACGTCGCCATTTCCTCCACCGACGAAAGCAGCCAACACTGCCGTCTACTACTCAAATGTTGGCATCTCTGCCTAGGGCCACCATATCATCTCCGAATGACCGCCCACCTTTAGCAATTATCAACTTCTCCAATTGTGTTTGATTCTTATGGATATTTCCTTCGATTTATGTTGTTCGAGGCTTAGTGATTTCATATCATATTGATTTCTAGCATATTGTCTCTACTTCACATCTCCAACAACTCGATTTAGGTTTTAGATAGTTTTGAAGGTTGAAATCGAGGTTATCCTAGAACCTACATACTTCTGGGCTGACAATGATTCTATATTTCCACCTCTGTACTTTGTCTTGAGCTTTTTAAGTTGGTGTAATTTTGTGATATTGGAAAATTTTATTTGTACTGTGGTATTACTGAATAAGCAGCAAGCTGCAACCCAATGGAGTTGGAGACTGACTAGAAAACTGAATAAGGTTTCTTTTTAATTTTCAAGGGAACTGGTGGTCAAGGAGGGAAGTGGGTAACATGGTTGCTTGACATAGATCCAATCGATTCATCTCATGAAGTTGGGTGATTGTTCAACTGGGTTTTTGATATGTATCTGTGAGTTTTGATTTGCAGGTGTGTAAGTCTTTCATCATCAATTTTTGGGTTTTACATCATCAATTTTAAGGTTCTTGATTATTTATACATCAATTGTTATAATCGTGTGTATGTGTGTTCATGGTGGTGTGTGTATGTATGGGTTGAAGAAAATGAAGTGGGCAGCTGAGGTTATACTGAATTTTGAAGGTCACAGGCAAGAGAAACTTACGGGAAAAGTGAAGAACGATCAATATCCAGATACGGTTCTCAGAGAGAGAGAGAGAGAGAGAGAGAGAGAGAGAGAGAGAGAGAGAGAGAGAGAGAGAGAGAGAGAGAGACTCTTTTTATTTATTAATTATTAAAATAGATAAATATATATTAAATTAAAGAAATGAAAGTAAAATGAAAAATAAATACATAAGGGGCATTGCAGTCATTTAAGTTTACCAAGGGACCAAATACACATCAAAACTAGGCCAAAAGACCACCAATCCAAAATAATCGAGGTTTGGACCAAACCTCAGAAAAAATGCATACCACATGGACCATTTTTGCAGTTTTGTCGTTATTCAACGATTGTTTTTCAACAAAAAAAAAAAGGCCGGCCAATCGCAGCAAGAGAGAGAGCGGGAGAGGCTCTCCTCTCCGTTTCCCGCATAACTCATTCCCGAGCCGACGGTGCAGTGTTCCGCCGAGTGGGAAGATCCCCGCTTCCGTTCCCCGAACCCGCTCCGTCCGACCTAATAACAAATGCATCTCTACATGTACGAAAAGATCCATGGTTGATGAAAAGGAAAAGAGTTTGTTAATGAAAAAAAGTAAAAGCGAATAGGTTTTAAGAATGAGAAATAACAATTTCTTTTAATTTGATTTTAATTGTCGACATATTCTGTTTTTTTTAATCTAATACTATTTGCCACTGTTGTAAAAATCTCGACTAAGTCCCGATTAATCCTTAGGCGCTACTCGACCGATTAGAGGATGCCTAAGGATTAATCCCTACATACATAATTAGTGAAACAATATAAAACTATGAAAATTTTAAAATTTTGAAGAAGTTTTTTTCTCAATGGATACTATTTGAAACATGATTAACGTTGTACTAATCATATTAACTTATTTTGTTATGATATTAGTGGTATTTATGAACTTTAATATGATATTAGTCATATTTATTTACTTTTTAAATTCACGAAATTAGCAATTAATAATCTCCGATTAATCTTCGTCTAGCCGATTAATCGTTTAACACCAGTCCACCGACTAGCTAACATCGAACGTTTTTACAACCTTGCTATTTGGTTAGATTATTTTTTACTTTGGTATATTTATCCATTTTATATTGATTCTTATGATTATTATTTGTCTATCTATTAACTATAATAAGAGAGATTACAAGCTTAATTGATGTCCTAAAATATGACAAATCGAGTAAACTAGAGATATTCAACCGCCTTTAACTATACTACTAAGCATGCAAAAAATATATAAATCATTTTTTCTTCTTCTATTTTATACCCAATTAATATCTTATATCTGTCATGTTCTATTATTTTTATACGGTTATTATATGAAATTAGTGCTAACTAATGATCTAAACAACATTTTTGATAGAAAAAAGGAAACAAGCGAAATAAACAAAAATATCTTTATAACGCAAAAATGTATATCCAACATTTTTGAAACCTTATTTTATTTTCTTTCACTACATTCATTTGAAACTTCCATAACTTTTCAATTTCTTAATAATAATAATTATAATTTGGTAATTAGGTTAAATAAATATTAAATCTAAAGTGTATTTATATATAAACTAAATTTCAATATTAAAATAATATCTTTTATTCTACATATAAAATTATGTTTTTTTAACTTTTAATATATTATGCTTAATTTATTAGTTTTAATATATTGTTGGATATAAACCATTATCATTTTAAAGGTATAATTTTTGAACAATTTTTATAAAATACTTAAATTATTAATTAAAATATAAAATTATAGGCTCAACTTAAATATAAATCTTATTTAACTTAAACAACCTAAAGATTACTTTATAGATAGTTAAAAGTGATAAATTATAGTGTCTTTCTAATAATGATTGTAAGTTGGTTAATAAGATTAAATAAATATCAAACCTAAAGTGTAATCATAAATATACTAAATTTCAATTTTAAAATAAGATCTTTACTTCTATTTTATAAAGTTATGTTTTTAAATTTTAACATATTATACTGAATTTATTAGATTTAAAATGTTTCTGCATGTAAACCATTATCAATTTAAAGTTACAATTTTTGAACAGTTTGGACAAAATACCTAAATTGTTAATTTAAATATAACATTACAGTGTCAACTTAAATATAAATTTCAGTTCCACTAAAAAAACCAAATAATATTTTGTAAATAGTTAAAAATGGTAAATTATAGTGATAAATGCAAAAAACTAAATTGTAATATCAGTTTAACTAAAATATTTTCTAAATATATTTATATAATCGTTAAAAATTTTCAAATAAGTAGCTTAAAATAACTTATAAAAACAATAGTTAAAAATAACTCTATATAAATGATTATATTGTTACCTTTAAAATCAAAAAATAATGTTTGATGTTTTAAATAATTATAATAATAGAAATTAAAACATTAAGCAAATATATTTTAAAAACATTAGATAAAAATAACAACTATAAATAATATTAAACCATATATAATATTTAGTTTTATTGATGTGTAACTCGCGACTAGAAGTCATTCAAATGATTGAGATTATGACGTTATAATAGATTTCTATATTATCATATAATTCAAAATAGTCAATATATTATATCAAATTAATATACGAATTATTATATCAAATTTAACAACAACGTTAGTGTTATATTTTAAAATATATATATTTGTAAATACTTCAACTATATAGGTGTTTCTGCGCATTACAATGTCAACTCAAATATAAATTATAGTTCTATTTATAAAAACTAAAGAATATTTTGTAAATAGTTAAAAGTGAAATTGTAGTGATAAAAGCAAAAACTAAATTGTAATTTCAATTTAACTAAAATATTTCTTAAATATATTTTTATAATCTTCAAAAGTTTCCAAATAAGTAGCTTAAAATAACTTATAATAACAATAGTTAAAAACAATTCTATATAAATGATTATATTGTTAGCTTTAAAATAAAAAAAACAATGTTTGATGTTTTAAATAATTATAATGATAGAAATTACAATATTAAGAAAATAAATTTTAAAAAATTAATTAACAATAAAAACAACTATAAATAACATGAAATCATATATTATATCTAATTTTATTCATGTATAATTCGCGGGTAGAAATCATTCAAACGATTGAGATTATAAAGTTATAATAAATGTATAATTCAAAATAATCAATATATTATATCAATTTTGTATATATATACAAATTATTATATCAAATTTAACAACGTTATTGTTATATTCAAAAATTCAAATATTTGTAAAAACTTCAACTATATAGGTGTTTTATTCGTAACGTGCGGACATTCGCCTAGTAAAAATTTAAATGAAGCTTGTATCATATTAGTTTAATAAAATATTATTAATTTTTTACCAAGGTTCTATCCTAATATATATCATAGAATCACAGGTTCCTTAGACTAATACCTTCTTGATTTGACTATTATAACTAAATGATGCGTCTGTCTTAGCTTTTGTTTAACTTTTTGTCTTTTCTAACCAAGTTCCATTTAAGAAAATAAAAACGAGAAAATGGAATCTGGAATATGCAATTTCTGAGTAACTTAATATCACTCTAGACCCACTCAATACATTGGTGTTACAACATGGATATGATCAAGACCATTTTTATATATATATATATAGTTGGATATAAACCATTTTATGTAGAAGCAGAATTAAGCTGCACATATTATGAGGACAGGCTTCACACTGATAGTGACTACTTCCACCCCACAAGATTCAACGTCCACCGTCGCCCTTGGCCTGCACTTATTATGCTCAATAACTTCACCACCACCCTTCGCTGTATTCTTTTCCTCTTCGGCTTCAGTTCCGCTGCTCTGACCAGAATCCACAGGGTATACTTCCGAATTGGATGTCTTTATGTTTATTATGTGTTCTAGCTCCTTCACTTCTGGAATGTCTGGCACCTTTCTTCTATTTTCTTTGTAATACTTATATACCGACATCTGAATTATTCCCAATACGAAACCTAGAACATTGGGAACCTGTAATAAAAACACACAAACTTGTAGTTATATAACTAGTTAAACAAAAACATTATTTGTTAAATAGGAAATTAAAAAGAATCTGAGATATACAGTAACGCATAAGTCGGATGTGAACATCCCATACGCAAACCACATCATGGCGCTTAACGTGAGGAAGCATGATAATGGGAATGGCATGAAATCGATGCTTTTAGTCTTCACAACTTGAAACTATATAATTAAAAGAAAAGAAGTTAACATATGTGTTAACAAAATAGAAAATATAAGAATATCCTCGAACACTGTTTCCCTACTAGAATCCTGAACACTTCTTTTACCGATTGATGCATAGTCAGACGATTTCACTGGATTTTTTGTTTCTGTTTGCTTTAGGAGTATATTGAAGCTGTTAATTAATTACTATTTAAGTGTTAAATAAACTCGGAAAATCATAATGAGTAATTACTAAGTGCTAACCACTATGGTAAGAGGTGCTGCAAAAACACAAACGGAAACTCCAACACAAATCCAACCCACAACTAGTGCCCGACTCACTCCTTCCAAGAAGTAAAACGATCCTAGAGATATTACAATGCACAACGCCATCGTAGCACTCACAACCATAATTGTATGCTTCTGTACGTAACAACATTGATATAAGTATGACGCCATTGATGGAAATTAATTGGTAGGATTTTGTAAGTAACATGTGTACCTTGACACTAGGTGTAGCGTATACCAAGAAAATGATGACGTAAATAAACTCAACTAACGAACCAAGAGCGTTAATTGTGATTAGAAGGAAAGTATCGCCTTTTTTGATAAATGCATAGTACATCCACAGCAATGCGCTAAACAGGGACACCACATATGGCAAAGACTGGAACCCCATTGTGGATTTTTGCTTGAATATTTGGATAAATGTAGGCCTGTGTAATATTTAATTCAAGAGGTTCTAATAACTTTTTATTTATCAAAATCAGTAGTCTCAAAAGATAAAAAGAAGATTCACTTACAGTGGCGCAAAGTAAACACCGGTAGACACAATGTTACCTGTAACATCATCACATGCATACAACGTGGTGATCAAATATATATGATTAAAAATATTTTTATTCATCATTCATAGTTTGGTTGTTATTGTCCGCACTCACACATATTGTTTTAATTCCAAGAAGGTGGATCATGCATTTCAAACCTCGTGTCTGGTATCTATAGTTTATGTATGTTAACTGTAATGACATTGCCAAAATCATTATTAATTGATTATCATAGTGTGCATGTCACAAGGAACTAGATTTGATCTTATAACCCTAGCTAGCATCATAATTTAGTAACTAAATCGTAAGATCAAATAGCATCACTTTTTCATTCATGGCAAGTATACTTGATATTGTATATGTGTATATATATAACCTGAAATTAAAAAGATTAAAATTAAAAAAAAATTAAAAATTTAAAAATTAAAAGAGACTATATATAGGGTTACCTAGGATGCCAAAGACCAGAATCAACGGATGATGTAGATCGAAAATCTCCATTTTGATAATCTAGCTATATATACTTACGTATAAATATAAATATGTATATATAGTATAAGAGAAGAGATGGAGATAGCTTTATGGGTTTCTTGAGAAACCCTAAAGCCTCTTCTTACTAGTCTTACAAAGAGAAGTTGTAAGATGGATCTCATTGAAGATGAAGAGATGGGGATTCATTTATATGGTATTGTTTGAGAATGTGTGCATATAAACCATCCTTGTTGCGTGACAAGTAGAGAGGAAGACGGTAGGTGGCGTACGATAAAACCATTTATTATTTCTTTTTAGTTTCTAATTTGTTATACATATGCTTACTTAATATCTATCTCACGTGCTCCTTTTAGTCCCGTGTCTCGACTTCTAACTCCTTTTCCCTTTTATTTACAAAGGATTAACCGTAGGAAAATTATCTTACCTTAAAAAGATTGTACAAATGCATGTCGACTTGATTAGTTTGAATATCAAGTTCACCAGTTTAACAACTTTGTAGTTGCTTAAGAACGACTACTCTACTTTGAAGTTTGTTATAATCATGATTAATTACTTTAGAGAATATTTTGTATGCTTGACGTCGTGTCCAAATGATAATGTATATATTTCATTTATGTTGATGTTTAATTAAGGTAACGTAATAAAAGACACATGAAGTATAAAAAATAAAAATAAAAATAAATAAAAGTACATTATAAATAGCAACATTGATGTAAACTTTATACATGTGATAATAAGCTTTTCAAGGGGTTAAAGCGGTGAGTGTGATACTTTTAATACCATATATAATTAATTTGATGTGATTAGGTATGCGATAAATAAACATGATGTTCAAAAATCTAAATCTAAAAATTATGCAAACCAAATTTTACTCACTTGAAATTTCTCAAGACATTCTACATAATGATTGTACTAGCTAGTGTATCAGGGGCTGAAATTAGAACTATAATTCTTAAAAAAACAACAGGGGCCAAAGCTTAAATTTCATATTTTCATTTCTAATATATATAAGATTTAGTGGGTAAAATCTGGTATAAGCAAAAGCAAAAAAAACAGGGGGGGGGGGGAGGGGAGGGGGAACATAGCCCACCCTAGCCCATTATATCCTCCGCCCATGCTAGCTAGTGATTATAGTTAAGAAGGCAATTAAAGCTCAGCAAACAAGAAATAGCATGAATTTAAGAAGTGATGATTTCTTCCTCTCATGCATATGAATTTAAGAAGTGACGATTTCTTCCTCTCATGCATGTAGGGCTGTAGATGAACCCAACATTCAGCGGACTATTTGTGAACCGTCCGATAATAAGTTTCCATTTATTTGGTTAAGTGAAGGAACATGAACAATGATTTTGTTTGTTCAATCATGTTTGTGAATGCTCTTCTAATGCGTGTTTGGACTGCTCCAAAAATCCACCAATACGAATCGGACCCCACAAATGATTTAAATATGGAGCTTGAAACCAAATATGCAGCGGAACAAAGAACTAGGACAAGAACAAACTAACAAAAGATAGATTTGCATATCAAACTAGACCTATAAATTGATACTTCTTTGAAAACAAACAAATGCATATTGGTTTGAGTTCGAGATCAGTACTAGGAAACACGTCCAAACAAAGATCAATTTTGAATTATACGTAGCAACTCGAGATGAACAAAATTCAAATTTTATAAAACTTTAATCGACTAACTCTGTTACAATCAGGCAGTTAATAGCGCCGAGATCTCGGTGAGATCTCGGTGGGATAACATTTCTCGGGTGTTTGCAAAATCTCGGTTTCAAATAGCGTTATGAAATATCGGAGCTGAGATTATCGTCGATATCAGCCGATTTCACCGATATTTTAATACCGATATCCTGGTTTTTTCCCGCTATTTGATATTTTGGGATTTTTATATAGATTTATATAAAAAAATTAGTACTTTGATATAGATTAGCCCTCAACTTGTAATATTATAATCCTAATCACCTTTTTGTGACCTAATTAGAACTCGGAAATACCAAATGGAAACAAATTTGAACAAATACAGATATTAAGACTCAATTAATTTGTAATCAAACCTTAGTTAATGCGTCTAACTTGTAATTGTAATCAAACCTCAGTTATGCATATCATTTGTAATTCTTTTTGTGCAACAAGTTATAGTTTTATCTTGTAAACAGGTTATATATATATATATATATATATATATATATATATATATATATATATATATATATATATATATATATATATATATATATATATATAATTTTTAAAAACCGCAATCTCACCGCGAGAACCGCTATTTTAAATCGCGGCAAGTGACCGTTATGAGATTTTAGACCGCGATAACTGCATTAATGATTAACAATGACTTTATATAGCCTTACAGTCTAACGGTAAAAGAAACTCAAAAGTCACCAAAATAGTTATGCTAATTAATGGCTTATTTAAAAACATCAAAGACTTAACAATAAAATGGAATAAAAACTAGAAGTTACTCTTGGGGAAGTGGAAAATGCGGTTGAGACTACCGAGGCGTGACACTTTCGAGATTAGAACCTCTAAGGTCACCATACTGAATCTAAGCCAATCAGAGTATTGCATCTTCAAACCTATTGGAACCAAGGCGTTATCACAACCAAAACCTAATCGGAACCATGTCCATTGGAATGAGAATCCAAGTCATCTAGGTTTTAGAACCAATCACAAGGTGATTCCACCTGACCGATAGTTGAATCGGGCCCAAACATAAGCTTCTGACACCGATGCATTCTGAGGGATCTGAAAGGGTCGCAACGCATCACAATGAACCTCATTCACAATAAACATCAAATGAATACCACCCAGTGCGATCGATCGCAACTAGTTGCAACAGATTGCAACCCGCAGACAAAATTGGATGGCCATTCAAATACGGATCGGAACTGAAGTGACATTCACATCCTCCATCCAACTTCGTATCATCCTGTCCTCCTTTGGAATGAATTTTACTTAATTCTGAAATGTCATTATACTCTCCTTGAAATTCAATCTTGAAAGAAAATTCAACTCAAGCCAACTTCATAACCCATTCTTTCTGTGAACTATTCACAAAGCCCTTTGAAAAAACACCAAATGATGTTTTAATTATTTCCCCCCTTCCTTCATAATGTATTCCAGCAATACTTCACAAAATTAGAGTTATGATCTGAATGATTTGTCTTGGGAATTCCATGCCAGTGCATCATTACTTCTAAAATATTAGTCACACCGAAGTGACTCGCCATTCCTCCACCCTAGGGATTTTGTAAAAATACTTCTTGAATCGGATGTTTTCGCACATAAAGATGATTACCCTTGAACAAAAAATCACCTTGTAAAACACTTTCCCCACCAAAACCACATGCACACAATGGCAATTGGGAATTTCTTGTCTCAATCGTCACTAGGGATTTTCATCACAAACTGATGATAATAGAACTTTTCATATCGATGAAGAATATGATCAGTTAGATAAAAATAGAGTCAAAATTAAGTGACCAAAGAGTTATATTACTTTTAATAATGGTTAGTCTATTTGGAAAGTATACAACAAAGTGATGAAAGATCTAATATACTCAAGAGTCGTATTATAATGATATTGCTAATTAATATATGATACAAATGGTCACAATAACAACAATTAGAAAAAATTGATTATTTATTAGAAATTAATTTTAATAAATATTCATAAACTCTTATTAAATTGTGAAAATATTTATTTCATCGAAATAATTATTTTACAATAACAAGCAACATATTATTTCATAAGTAATGAATTAATAAATCATGCACAATATTTTGGACTAGTTGAATACTTTTTATCCTGTACCTAAAGACAAAGTTTATATTTTATAAACTTTGATTTTATAAAATTTAAATGTTTTTTCTTCTTTTTGTGTGCATAGCCGAAACTAGTTTACTAGTGAAGGAGCATGGCCTTTACATTTGTTTCTTGCACATTGATTATTCATTCATGCATGCATTGCTGAAAGTCTTCCCTCTCACTCACTTATTCTGTTTATAAAAGATAAGAAGTTTAAGTTACTTGTTTTTATGTTTTCTTGGATCAAATACTTAGGTATTTGTTTCTCTGCTTAAGAGTTAACAAAAGAACTAGCATTCTCTTCAATTTGATCAATTGTTGGTGTCTCAATGTTCATCCATCTCAATCAAATTCCAAGCCTCCCCTAGAGGACCCAAAGTTCTTCAAAGTTTGTTGTTACTTCTTCCTTCTATGGTTGTGTTTTTATCTTCCCATTTCTTGTAAGAAGATCCATAGTGGGATGTGATTTTTCATTAAGTATGAAATGTTAAAGACTTCTGTTGCTAATATTTTGACTTTTTTTGAAACTATTTTTTGAGCTAAAACCCAACAGTTGGTATTAGAGTTATTTTGCAAGTTTGGCTAAATTGTTTGATCTATGGAAATCTTATTTTTTGGAGAATATTAATAACTTGGTTTTGTTTAAAAAAGGTTCATACATATTTTCTTTGACGAATTTTCTTTTAATTGTTATTTTTTATAACAAAAACTTATGTACATTTTTATCACTTAAAGTTGTCTTATAAAAAAAAATTATGTTTATATGTATTTCAGAGTGCATAAACAAGCCTTGGATCAATTGTGTTGTTGATTGTGTTATTTATTTGAAAATTGTTTGTATTATTCTTTTATTCACAAAAGTATGTAATAAAAGTAGCTAGTTTTTATTATTGTCATTTTTATGTTATAAATTAGTTTTAGACTAGATTTATTTTATAAAAAAAATTAACAAGATGAAGATGGATTCCATTTTTGAAGACTACAAGTGGAGGCCATGGTTTTATAAGGTTTTTATAAAGTTCATAACATTTATAAAAATCTTATAAGATGGCAACAAAGTTGGTTATTATTACAAGTGGGAGCTTGAAGATCAGTTGAAGATAACATGAAAAACAACTTGTATCATTTGGTCTCTTTGTCTCTTAGGAAGGACTTAAACACTTTTGTGTTGTCTCACAAAAGTCTTAATTAAATCAAGGCTTGTTTATGTTAAATGCATTTTTGTGTTGTTTATTTTTTTATGTAAGTATTTTGTATGGTTGATAATTTCGCTTTTCACAAACTCAAATTATATTTTGATCAAAATAAACATTACATGGAT